ACACCAGATATCTGGGGAACCTTGGACGAGCGCCCGGTCTGCTTTCTGGTGGAGACCCACTGGGTGTACACGTAGCGTGTCTATTATATATGGCAATACCTATTAAAAAGGCTCATCCTTATTTGGTAATACTTGCGTCAGATACCATTCTTTTCTAATAACTATACCTTACTCACGTACTTCCTAAATAATCAAACATAAATCCATACGAATGTGAGTTACAGCTCAGGGTACACATTTCATCAGTCGTTGATGCATGCATCATATTAGCATCCTCAAAAACAAACAATACAACTTCCTACATACAATACGGTGTTAAAAGCACACACATTTTGACATACTAGTAGTACTAAAACAACAATCCGTTATAAGAAAAATTCCTTTTAAACAAGGTATATCAAAAGGGTTACAAATTTATACTATAATATAACTAGAGGTCCCCGATCTCATACCTTCGCCAAATGATGTTAATCTTTATGACTGACAAATTATAAATTATTCTCCCTGATTTAACAAATAGGGTGCTCATTTCCATTCTCATTTTCATGAATATCAATTTATCATATTCGCAATGTACAGTCTTATATTAACAAACAATGCCATTCTAGCATTTCCTAATAAATTATGCAAATGAGGTCCTAATTTGAATACATTATGTTTTCATAAGATAAAGATAAGTGTTCACCTTCACTTATCTTTCAAATACCACAAGTATGAAATTCCAGGCACTTATCATTACATAATTATAAAATTAATTATGCAAATTAGGTCTTCATTTACATAATCAATATCTGCCTGTGTTTCTCTCGTTCTCAATTACCAATTTCACGAGCTTCAATAGTCCTATCATGGAATGCAGCTGATTTATAGAATTTCCCCATAAATTATGCAAATCACATAATTATATCAAGCATCACGTAAGCTACCTACATACCAACAATTACGACTATCTATCAACCGGTTCCTGAGTTATCCTCTTTTGAATACTTTCAAACATATAGCCCTGCAGTTCCAGAGCAAGCCGCTAGGGGGTCTAAACTCACGTCACTTCTTCCCCAGCACAAGAGCTACCTACCATCTAAATTTCGTTACCCTAACATGTTTAGATCATGAGATATGAAAACCGGAAGTTTAGCTGCAGTACCATAACAAGCCGCTAGGGGGCCCCAAATCTAATCATTTTGAGGTCTCATCAAGACCTACCCACCTACCAAATATCAAGACAATCCATCAAGGCCTTCTCAAGTTATCTTGTTTACAGACACACAGACACACACACACACATACACGAACGCCTCTGAAAACATAACCTTCTTGGCGAAGGTAATAATTTTATTATTAAAATACGTCGCCGGTGTGTTTTTTAAACACCACCCTTGTTTTACCTGAAATAAAACAAAAATCACCAGCTTTCTTTTTGCTGCACATGTCGCATCCGCGAACATATACATGTAGTTCTCGAACCGCTAATATAAAGGAATCTACAGTACATATTACGTGGAGTTGGAGCTACCTGCAGAGTTATAATACAGGCTAAGTAACCATGAAAAGTACGACATCTTTTTATATTCGTACGTACCAATAGTGTTAGCCTGGTATCCAGTCTTACGTGATTGGGGTGTTGGGGTGTTTGGGCAGGTTGTGCCTTCGGGGGATCTAATAGCTTCCCCCGCCCAGTGCAACAGGCCGTCCCGGTAGGAGACATATACACATTCATGAACATGGACACTTCCACAAGCACACAAATTTCTGTTTCTTTGCGCGGAAATAGTCACTAGCCCTGCAAACAATGATACCATATAGCGACAAACATCGTCGTATTAGAGTGGGTCAGGGTTTAGGTAACATTAAACACTGATTCGTATTTTAGGTGCCGTATAGATGAAGGGGGAGGGGGTTATAGAAGCGATATGTTTGATTAGAAGAATGTAATGCCAGCTTTAATTCTGATAACAATACAGTAAGCAGAATTTTTGGTAACAGTTTTTTTCCAGTAACAGTTCAAAATCAAATAGATTAGGGGTCCTACAACGGTGACAGTGCGTCTGTAAATCCGTGGCAAACCCTTTCGGGGTTTTCTGTAGAATAAAAAAAATGAAAAAAGGAGTACAGAGATTCTTTTGTACTCTAGACCAAATTGATTTCTAGTATTATTTAAAAAACGTTCTAGAATCTAAAATAATGTCCCTTTGACGACGGCATGAGATCTCCGACCTCTAGTTTCAATATAGTTTTCTGCCTACGTCAGTTTTGTTTCTTAATTTACTAAATACGTCTACCAAGGCGCAAACGTCATTCAGAGCCAACGTGAGATTTCGTAAAACCATACACTCGTAAGATTCAAAGCCAGCTGGACACGGCGTCTCCGGTGTTCAAGGTGCGTCCTACATTAACTAAATGTTAGTATCTTGTGGTTATGATATAATTGTGGGTGTTTATAATGTAGAGGAGAATATATAAAGAGACTGTAAAAATTTTACGTCCAAACATTTACTGTACACAATTGGTTTAGCTGGTTGTAATTGTACCTGCTACCTCCAACACTAACAAGGACGTAATGATTTTATTGCATTACTCTGTGCACATTAAAACGGATTCTATAGCATGAGAGCCACTCAAATGTTTTGTGTTAGGTCACACCGACTTAATTTTATGAATAACATCCACGACGCGCATTGATTTTTGCCTGTTCCAAAAAGAAAGATTACGCGTCTGGTCTGGCTCTAGACCTGGGTAGTCCATGGTAGTTACGACAATACGGAGCCGGTGGTAACCCTGGAGGATGGCACCGATGGCACCATCCCAAAGCTCCACGACTCAAGAACTCAGTATATAAGTACAGTGCCGAATCATAAATTCCGCAAAAAGCCAGTATGTGCCGGCTTGTCGTGAACGTCGCTAAATACTGCCGCAAATTCACAATACCAGCTTTGTATTAGTTGTTTTGTATTGTTGCATTAGTAGTATTTTTTATTCTTTATTCGCCCGCGCCGCGCGCAGTTGTTGGGGGCCTTCAGAGGATGTCATCCACAAAATTAAGTCGGCGTGGCCTTACTGTACAGACAGTGAGGACAAATGTGTGTTGACCTCTACCCATATGGTAAACAATTACGTGGTAGCTTATTCCATAGTGATGTTATTCTAGGATAGAAGCTTTTAGCGTGGAATTTCCTCCTAAGAGGTGGTGAATGGAGGAAGAAAGGGTCATTTGCTTCAGTCGAAGTGGCAAAACGTCTCATTCCGTAATGCCCAAAATCTTTGTCCCACTCAAAAATCAAGACCATAGTATGTCGACATCACGAGATATCATTCCATGTACCCCGATGCATTACAAAACCACTGGAGCACCCAAATTTAACACTGAGCTTTTTCCCAACCACATTCTACCTACCAAGTATGATAAAGATATTTTCACCACAGCCCAAGTTATAACCGATTACAAAATCAGCAGCCCATATACATGGTGTACCTAAACACAATTATTAACCTTTTAACAAAGCATGTATTTTGCATTACAAATTTCGAATGTAACTTTAACGGAAATTGGAAAGATCGAGTGAAGATCTTATAGAGTTGCCAGGCATATTTTTAAGAAACTTCCTATCGCCGCTTCTTTACTGTGTTTTCTTTCCCACCACATACAGGATACTCTTTACATCACTAAACACACATTCCTCCCGCTCGGGAGTTTTGTACACAGACGTCTCCAAAACCGTGATGCCTGCTTCAGATAGACTCTTCAACACGAACTCGGGGTCGAGGCGGAGAGATTCCGGCAGCTTTTGGCCACCCTCAATATAATAGGTGACCCCGATGTACGACATTAGGATGAAGTAGCCTCCTGGCTTCAATAGGGAACAGATGTTCCTCACTGTATCGGCATATGTTGACCTAAGATGAAAAGATGTGATAAAAGATAAAGGTCAAATGTCTCAATCCTTGTAAAAAGCTGAACTTTATTCCAACACAGTTTACAGAGAGATCTATTTTAAGCGACCACTGTGGCCTTTATCAGGATAATTAATGACCAATAACTTCACAACGTGATCTCGCGAGAGTTACGGTTTACAAACACGTGACCTTATTCACACGAGACTTTACTGATAGGTAACATGAGCAATTAATCAAAAGTGCCAGGGAGTTTATATCGTCCACCATCTCTGTAAAGTGTGTGTTGGAATAAAATTCATTTTTTTTACTATGATTACTACCAACACAGATTTACTTCAATGATAATCTCTCAATCCTTGTTATCTAGATTAATGTTCTTATTTCGTCGTGCATTTTGTTATTTTGGTGTATTTTTTTTATTTATTTACTTCATATTCAACACAAAACAAGGCTCACGAGAGCAACTCAAATAGTTTAAACATTACTGTACTAGACATGTCAACATTGAGGACAGATGTTTATTGACCTTTGACTGAAGTTTAGGGCTGTACATATTTGAGAAATAATGTTGTGCTTTGTTGCTTGTTTCATAGTGATGTTGAAATTGTAAAGAAGCTTTCAGTGGCAAAACTTTCGAAGTGAGGGCACTATTGAGTGAAGTTCCGCGAAGCATTTACCGTGGGATTAGTGAAATATAACTTATTCCTGCGTACCAAAAACTTGTTTTGTAGTTTGTGTACACCAGTGCACCTATTCCAAAAATTAGAATTCGAACCCTAATTAATAGTTTACCTCCCCTTGTCCCAGCACGCTCCTTCCAGACAGTATGCAGTGATGACGGTATCGAACAGTGAGAACACAGTCGGGTGTAGAGGATTCTCTTTAAACACGTCACAAACAACAGTGTCTTTGATGGCATTTTGCAGCTGCTTTTGGCGAGATTCCCACCTTGTAAAAGAAAAGCGACGATGAATTAACTAAACATTCCTTATATTAGCTTATGTCACACCTTACCGGGCAATAAACTCCCAATGCTCCATACGATCCTTTGCTTTTTGCATTGAATTTTCATATATCTATAGTATCTGAATAAAATTTATCTATCTAATATCTTCCATCCATATAAAGATCTCTCTCTCTCTCTCTCTCTCTC